CGCTTTCGCATGGGAGAACATAACTTTGCGCACTGATTAGGAGAACTACTATTTTCCAGTAGGGGGACCAGCGCTTATCCTTCAAGAATTGGAGCAGTCCACTGCCCAGACAGGACAAGAAAGAAAACGTCGCTCCGCATATACAATTTGGTCCATCTAGACAGAACATCTGCGAACGCAATCCTGAGCATTATGCAGGTATTGACAAACTTTGTCCATAATGAATATGAACGGTGCTTTTGCTTTTTTTGTGTTGATACCAATTTGCTACAAATAATGCCCATATAGCACAAAATATTTTTGGGATATTTTTTTTTGATCCAACAATGGATATTTTTTGAACAACGCTAATAAAATATTTTTAAAAGATTCAAACAACATTTGTGACCACACATTGGTTTGGAAATGTTCAAAAAATGTTTTTAAAATGTACTCAAAAAATACATTAGTTTTACAAACATATCCAAAATAATATTTTTAAATGGATATTTTTTGAACATCATAAAAACATAATAAAAAGAATATTTTTTTCCCCACATTTGCTGAACATTTTTAAACCATTCGGTCTCTAGAGTCTGGCTCGAGACTTAGGGCAGGTATTATAAAACTATTTTGACAGACCAACTAAAAGTTAACTTCTGGAATGACGTTACTTCTCATAGTAATTCCAAAAGTTAACTTTTAGTTATCTGTCAAAATAGTTTTATAATACCCGCCCTTAGCCGCGCTCCATCTCCCTAACGGCTCGGCTATCAAAAATTCCAATTATAATTTGTGCGATTCTTTTGGACCGTTCTAGAACCGTCCTTTTTTTGATCCAAAACAAAGCTTTATTTGATTTAACTTGTCCGTTTGCTGTTTCTAGGCGCCATTTTACCTGCTACCGCTTGAATTAATTCGCAGTGTTGTCAGCTAGTAACACTGTAACGGTAAAGTTAAAATGGCCATACCTGGAGTCGTTTTTTTTTTAAATATTCTCGCAAACGATTCGATTTCGAACACTCCCTATTTAATTTACATTGCTGTCAATCAAATTTCGTGTACGTCATGTACTCGAATTAATTTGAAGATACGACCCCTGGAAACCCATGAAAGCTTATAAAACGGTTCTGGCAACACTGGTAGTTTTGTGCTACTTTTTGAGGGGGACCCGGCGAGGCGACAGGACAGACGCCGACGTGTAGTTTCAGTTTGGGTCGGGTTCAGGTAGGCTGGAGTGAAGTCAATATATTTGATTTATTTTGAGTATTTTGATGCGTACCTATCTGTTTTATTTATTTTTTCCAACTTTTGCTTCCGTTTTGTGAGGTTTGTGTGCGAGTGTAGGAACGTTATTTGGCACTGAGAATAATTGCGATTTCGATTGAGGTTCACGGTAAGTGGTAGATATTTATATCAGGGTTTTCCAACGAGGACTTAAAACGGGGAGCCTATTTTTGAATCTCCCTGTATTTTTGTAAGAATCCAAGATAGCCATCATCCATGACGTGTCTTATGTTTTTGGTTCAAATATTTTTTGATACAATTATTGCATTCTGCAGGAACATGAGATAGGTATTTTGGATTTTCTCAATTATACGAAGAGTGGAAAAAGAAAGATAGAAGAAAAAAGGAAGCATTTGATCAATCCTCGTTGGAACACCCTGTATCTATAAAAATGATATTCATAAATTATAGTCATACAAATTACTTCTTATGGCAGGAAGAAGAAAGGAGCTGTGGAGGAGCAGGCGCAGCTCGAAGGGCAATGAGCTATCACCAGGCAGGTGCTGCTTAACTGAGGGGAAATAACTTGGATCAGAAGCATATGCACAAATAAAAATATTTCTGAGTCTGATTCTGAGTTTTAATTACCCATAAAAATTACCATCGTAAATGTTGGAATGATGTTTTTCAAATATTTTAATAATGTTTTTTAAATATCATTTTGATGTTCACAAAACCAATATAGATTTTTCAATGTGTGGAAAATATTTAATTTACATTTTTTTTTAAATGTTCCACAAAATATCCAAAAGACGTTTTAAAAATATATTTGGATATTTTAATAGTACATTAAAATACAAGTTTCATAAGACGTGATTTTATCGCACGAGCCCTATATTAGAAAACGAGCCGGAGGCGAGTTTTCTAAAGGGCGAGTGCGATAAAATGTCTTATGAAACGAATATTTTATACTATTTTGGTATTGTTTAATTAAAAAAAAACAAATTATCCTTGGAAATTTTATTCTCATATTTCCTGATTTCATGTTTAGGTTGGTAACACTACACGCCAAATATAGAAATCTTCTTTTTTATTTTTATTTTTACCAATAATAAAATCGCAAATGACAGTTCGATGGCCATCAGTCAGCCAGTGTTACCAACTTCCGATAAGTAAAAAAGGAGTGTCACAAAGAGCTTCTTTTCGAAACTACTTTCAGTGTCGAAAAGACTTCGATATGAAACCAAAATAGAAAAAAATGTTTTTAAAACGATGATGATGTTCAAAAAACATTTTCATACTTTCTAAAAATATTCCTAATACATTTAAAAAATATCGCATGGATGTTCAAAAAATATCGATTCGTTACCGCAGAATGTTCAAAAAATGTCCTAAAAATATGTTTTATGGATATTTGGATGTTTTAAAAATATATTTGATCCGAAAAAAAATATTTTTTGAAGCTTCAAAAAATATTATTTGGCTATATGGGTGTTTCCTTTTATCAAAACCTCAGTTAGAATAACGTTTTCAACTTTTTTAGAGGAAAGTCAAGAAACGCCATTTTTTCAACACGGCCTTAAGACGTTATGGATTGCCGAGACTTTGAGTTATTATACGCACTTGTAAGAAATTTTGTCTACTTTAATTTGGTATATTATAGTTATAATTAAAAAACGCCTAGTTTTCGAGTTATAGTTGAAAACCTGAAAAGAGTGCCGAAAATTTAAGGTTTTTTGCAATTTTTCGTGTGAAGCCGACATCTGGCGAGTTGGCAAATCTCAGATTCGGATTCAGCACCCCAAAAAACATACAGAACCGGTGAGAAAAAAACTCCTACATTTTTTTCCTGGAAGAAACCCCTGCTTACTGGACTATTAAGCACCAGAGCACCCTTCCAAATTTGATGTTTTCACACATTTTAGAAATGGTATTTCCGATTTTTTTATAATTTCCATTCAAGTAAGAGTTGTTTTCACATAGCCTGCTGCACGTTAGGGTTTTACCCCAGAGAAACTAGACCAATAAAAGGGCTATCTGCGGAATCAGGCCGAACAAGCTGAATTTTTGCAGAGACCTTCATTTTGATGTTCTAATGAAGCACGATAAAATCGAATATGCCTACCCTTGTGCGTCTTGAGATATCGAAGGTCAAAGGTCACGAAAATCGGGTTTTTGCGAAAATCTCGCTTCCAGTGCATTTGACGTGGAAGAACCCAAAACAAAACTTACGTAAAATAGAATTTTCTACAAAATTATCCCTATACATTTTTTTGTACGACCAACCGTTTTCGAAATATAGCGTGATAAAGCGGAAGCGCGCATTTAAAAAAGGTGATTGTATTAATCCGGGGGGACACCCATTTTCTACCTGGAACCATCCCAAAAAAAAATAAAAAACACTTAAAATTTGATGAGGTATTTCTAGGTAGAAAATGGGCGTGCATTATACGAATTATTAAATATCATTCCTACATCAATAATCCCTGAAAATTTGAACAGCCTAGCATTAGCCTTCCAGATGATATGGAAGGGGGTTGTTTAAATTTCAACACCCTGTATTTTGGAAACGACGCACTTCCGACCATCGGTATCCTATCTCAAATCACTTCTCTATGGTTCCTTCATATACCCTAGCATTTTTGATCAGTTGAACGGGGACATCCTGTATACAGTATCACCTATTTTGAATATGCGCTCCCGCTTTATCACGCTATATTTCGAAAACGGTTCGTCGTATAAAAAATGTATATGAACAATTTTGTAGAAAATACTATTTTACGTAAGTTTTGTTTTAAGTTCTTCAACGTCAGATGCACTGGAAGCGAGATTTTCGCAAAAAAACGATTTTCGTGACCTTTGACCTTCGATTATACTCCATTAGAACATCAAAACGAAGGTCTCCGCAAAAATTCAGCTTGTTCGGCCTCAGTCCGCAGAGGAAGTCTAATTTCTCTGGGGTATTTGTCCTTTGGACTGGAGAAGTTGAATGCCACCCTGAACACTATTCCAAATTTGGCCTTTGTAATGGTACTTGATGGCCATAATAAACACTCTTTCAAGTTTGATGGTGATACATTTTACTTTAAAAAAGTGGTTTGTAGAGATTCGCATTTTAAAAGGGGGAGTTTTTTATGTTGTTTTTCTGAGGTTCAAAGAGGTGGTTCTTTGCGGGAAAGCATTTAATTTGTAAATTAACTATATTTTAAAAAAAGCTGCCAATAATAGTGCAGCTAACTTCACTATTTTGGCTTTTGGAAAAATGGCGGATTCGGTGAGAAAATTTCAATATTTCAAAACGTGACAGACATGAATTAAAAACATCAACAATGCAAACTTGCTATGTTAAACAAGATTCCAGGATAATCACCTGATTTTTTTTTTGTTTTGTCACGGAAATATTTCAAAATGATTGCCTTAAAATACAGGTTTAAAAATTTTCTTACAAAAATCTGGAAACAGTTAATATAATTTTTCTGCAACGACTTGCTGAAAAATGGCCCCTATCTCAAAATCGACTCACTCACTTACGTTTAGCGTTTAGCATGTTACATATGGAACTAAAATAAAAATTTCCAGATATTCTCAAAAAGTGTCCCTCTGAAAACAAACAAACTATAATTCGTTAAATTCAAGAGAAACTGCTGGTGGTTTGTTTTATAAACTTTCAATTAATAGGAACTTTTTCCTTAGCCTTAGCTGGTCTATATCTTGTTTTTTGTCTTCATGCCCATCGGTGTTCAAAATTTCTATCAATTGACTATAAATTCATATACAATAAATTCAAACCCACTGTTTTTTTAAATTATCTATTAACTTTGTTATATACATTACTTTGGCAGCGGTGATATATAAATAGGTGAACAAAAAAGGAGCTAAAATAAAGTTGATTATTTTTTAATTTTTATATAATAATAATTAATATATCATTTTTTGAACATGTTTGATGGAAATATGTTCCAACAACAAATATCAATACAAGCCATAGATCTTTGTAGACAGAATGAGTTAGTTCCCTTCCAATATTTTCGGAAAGCTATACGTTTTTGATGGCCAAACACAAGGGTTCTATTTTCTAAAGCCATAAATGATGATAACATTAAAAAAAAAAAACTCACTATTTTAAAATTCACAAAAAAGCTAGCAAATATTTGCAACAATATTACAGAAAAATTAAAGCCAACTAGCAATAATAAAATACATAATATACCTTAGAATGTATTTTAACCACTTGCCCAATATTCAAAAAAAAAAATATGGACGGGATGTGTAAAAATTTTAATTAAAAAAAAAATTATGACCTTCCAATGTAAGAAATTTTTTAAAAATCTCGTATGTCTTCATAACTTGTGAACGTCAGAGATTGTTTTTTTCCATAACCAGTAAAATAAGATTTTCCGACTTTGCTGAAAAAGTTTCTATAAAAACAATATATAAATTATAGAATGGAAAAACTGAACAAAACATTTAAACAATTTACACTTAAAACAACTCAGCTAACCTCCCTTTGTCCAAGATTAAAAAAAATTGGGACAGGAAAATTAATTGAGAATTTAGAATAGAGAAATTTAGCCTAAAATATAGGTATCTATTCTAAACATTATACTATACAGTTTTTAAAACAACTTGAGTGCATCCTAGCTCTAGCATCAATTATTAAAAAAGTATGCCCTTTTATTAACAGCCATAGGAACAACTCAAAAATAAGTTATATAATTTATCACATTTAAGTTCTGGGTTGTCTATACTGTTGAGACATTATCCAATATTCATGGGGGTAGTACCCTAGTGACAATTTCACCGTCACTATTTCTTTTACGATGAACCAACACTGGTGTTTTGAGAATTGATTCTGGTATTTCGGAGGCTCGTACAGTGACCCTCTGCGTGAATGGAGTTAGTAATTCGGGTTTGTGGCGAATAGCTGGTTCATCTGCCTCCATGCCGTTAAGCTCTGGATGCTCTAAAGGAGTAAAAGAGGTTAGTATAGGCTCATCGCGTGGTTTACCGTTCTGTCCGTTAATCAAAGGAATATGTTCTGGAATGCCACTGGGAGATTTTCCATTCTTTTCATTAACAGACTTTATTGGGGGTTTTTCTAGAGGCGTCATCTCCTCTTCATACCGTGCAAGACTCCCGCGGCGATTTTTATTATGTTTTTTAGCTCTCCTTTTCTTTATTAAATAAACCGAAAAAACTACTGTCAGCAGGAGTCCACATGTAAGTACAATATAAACTGCATAATTATTTTGATTAAGAGCAGTAGCTTTTTTCATTTCTCCTGTATGCGTTTCATTCAAAAACAAATCTACATCGCTATCTTTTCTTGGCTTTGCATAAACATCTGAGTTAGTGGACTTTACCGCAGTCTCTTCCTCGACTAAAGATACTTCAGTTCTTATACTAGTTGAAGTGCTAGTGGATGACGTAGGTTCGGCAAATATAGGCTGGAAAACATCTTCAGCAATAATTTTTATTTGATCTGTTGGGTCTGGTGCACTAGAATCGTTTTTATCATCATGAGCTCCAATGGGTTCGGGCGTAGCACAATTATAGACGCAAGCAGCAACATGTTCAATTTCAATTGGCATAAGCCCACTGCCTTCCATATCTCCACTACCCTCTTCCGCAGTATTTATGGGAAGAATATCTTCAGCAACCAAAAATTGTCGTTCTTGCGGAAATTCGTCTTTATCATCAATTACTTCATTTTGGCCGGTGTCTCCCTCTTCGCGAAGATAAGGAGCATTCACAAGTAACTCACGATTGAAGATATCTTCGGAAGCTCCCGATCCTTCAGGCTGATCGTTGATCATTTCATCTTCTATGGTACAGTTAATCGAGTTTATATTTTTACCATAATATTGTTTTGGTAAATAGCAGTTCACATCTTCTGAAATGTTTATACCTTGTACCATCATTCTTTTATAGGTAAAAACATTATTATTCAAACAATCACAGTCCAAAAAATTCTTTTGTAAATTGAGAATTTTTAGTGCTCTCAAAGAGCTCCAATCTTTCGGTATATGTGATAAAAGATTATTTGATAAATCAAGCTCTTCAAGATTGCGTGGTAATAATCTAAACTGTATGCCTTTTATGTTGTTTCTGCAAAGCCTCAATGTCTTCAAATGTGGCAGCGATGGAATTGTATAGAGTTGTATATTATTATCAGATAAATCCAAATATTCTAATTTTCTTAGATATTTTAATTTAGCTGGCAATTTATCTTGTGATGCATTTACAACCGTTAATTTAATAATACTCTGATATTGTTTTGGTCCTAATTTATTCAGAAACTGGAAAGAATTGGCTTCTATGGCACCTTCTTCATGACAAATAGTTTCATCTGGGCAGTGAAATGGAGAAGCATGCGCAAACGCTGTCATAAACAACGTAACAGCCACAGTCCACATCATGGTATCTGCAAATAAGAAAAACATATTTAGAAACAATTACCATAGTTTTGGATTAAATCTAAATTATTCATGTTAAAAGGTTGGAACAGCATGTCGACTTATTTAAATATTGCCTAATGTAGTACCTTGAACAAATATCATTAGTTAGGAAATTGACACATGCAAATAATATGGTTTTATATTAGCTAAACGATTATATTATGAGAATGATATTTGGAAAGAAGTTTTCAGATATTTCTTGTCTAGAGATCATATCTGCCAGTATCCATTATGTTTATTTTTAAATTCTTAGAAAAAGTCGCAATGTAGGTACTCTAAAGGCACGTTTCACAATCGACGCTATCTGCGAGCACCGAACTGCGAGTCACGTCTTCTTGCCTACTGACGTGTTATTGAATAAATACTATTTTGATAATGGTATGACCTATGTGTTTTATTATCCCTTACACTATTTTACATTATTAGCCAGGTAAAATTAGTTTTTACTGGCGATTGAAGGAAATGACTAGACAGCCGTTTGGCGATTGGCGAGCTTGTCATCTTCAAGAGCCAGTAAAATTATACCTATAATTTATTTGTTACTCATTTATTTGTAAACGATAAAGGTACAAATAATAAATTAATATGTCATAAAATTTTCAGATGTATATTTTTTTCTTCGATTTTTTCTCATACAAGCCTTGGTAGTTGGTACAACTATGACAATGAGATGTTGTTAAGGTCAATGTTTATAGATGATATAAATAAGTTTTCTGACAAATTTGTATTTTGCAATTTTTTTTTTCCCAGAAATGTGTGTTCTAGAAGATATTATTAATGAAGCCGCAGTCGTAGAAGAGTTTATCACCAGAAAAGTCTTCCAGAAGGTACCTACAAGCAAATTATTCTTGTGACAAAATTGGTTTTTTAAAAATAAATAATTCTACTGACTTGTGAGAAATTTTTGCAGTTTAGCTGTCAATTCTACAAGTTAGTAGAGCCAGTGAAAATCAATTTTTGTTGTTTACGTTTCCACTTAATAAGTGACGTTTCACAAATAAGAGACAAATAAATAAATTTAGGGCACGCCTAAAAAAGAAATCGTATTTATTTTACTTTTAATATGTAGGTGATTAATGTGTGTGAATGGCTTAATAGGCCAGTCAATGAAGCTTCGGAATTAACAATAATTGCAAACAATTTGAAATTTAGGATTTACGTTTTATATGACAAAAAAATGAACTATAAAAATTTGCACCTTCCAGTGACGTGCGGAACATTGTTTTTTTTGTAAAAATAAAACAATTATTAATTACTTCTTCCCAAAAATTGCTAACAAAGTGCAAATTTACAAAAACGCGACGACTTATCTTCCAAATCTTGTATTAATTTTGCACCTTTTTTCATTAGGCGGAACACAATGAAAAATTATTTATTGATAAAATAGTACATTAAAATACAAGTTTCATAAGGCTCGTGCGATAAAATGTCTTATGAAACGAATATTTTATACAATTTTTTCTATTTTGGTATTGTTTAATTGAAAAAAAACAAATTTTTCTTGGAAATTTTATTCTCATATTTCCTGATTTTATATGTTTAGGTTGGTAACACTACGTGCCAAATATAGAAATCTTCTATTATAAAATCGCGAATGACAGTTCGATGGCCATCAGTCAGCCAGTGTTAGCAACCTCCGATAAGTAAAAAAGGAGTGTCACAAAGAGCTTCTTTTCGAAACTACTTTTAGTGTCGAAAAGACTACGATATGACACCAAAATAGAAAAAGTATTATATAGTTTTCGGAAAAAATGCTAACAAGGTGCAAATTAGGATGATGCACCATAATAGTGGAATAAAATCACTGCTCTAACTCGCTGTTTTCTGAGGGTGCGTGATTCCGAGGTATAACCAGATGAAACCTATATCATCTTGTAGAGGACACTTTGGGGCATAGGAAATGGGAATGTACAACTTTTTTTAATAGGACTGAACTTTGAAATCGGCCCTTAAACGTGACTGAGCTCGAATTTGAAAAACTACATTTTTCTAAACATTACCCGCTGTATTAATTTAAGCATACAATCTAAAATTCTGATTTTTTGCACACTTATACTTGAAACATGAGCGCTTTTAATGACAGTTCAGGAATTTCGAAAAGGTTCAAGGTTTTTTTGTTAAAAAGTTAGGAATATAGAATTATCAAAATCGTGCATCTAAAACTTCACCCTGCGGCGAGCAATGTGTATTATTGAAAATTTCTATACATATATATCGAATCAAATGTAGTAAAAACATTGACGAAGTTTAAAAAAAAAATTAAGGCGCTAACTTCAACGATTATAGAAATATAAATTTTTATCCAAGAGCCCTGGAGTGCGCTCAGCCCATCTTAATCGCGTCGCGACGAAATTGTTCGTGTATTCACCGAGAGGTGCATTTTTTAACTTTTCCAGTTTTGTGCGTTCGTATGCGAAAAACAGCTAAGTCTTATTTAGTATCAAAGTTTGAACCATATTCAACAGTTGCTTCTCCGCGAACTGATGTTAAAGTAGGTGTGACCAAAAAAAGCAACTTAAGCTACTTAAATCAAGAAAAAAAATCTAAGATCTCTCGTGGAAACCGCAGTCTTTAATTCAAAATATTATCCGAGAAAATTCTTCATGAGATAAATTTTGCGGAAACTTGTGACGTCACACCGGCTAACCGCCGAAGTCATAGCCTTCTGTTTGTTCAGTTTGAACCGTGCCCTATACTTTAAGTGGTTGCAATTTGCTTTAAGTGAGATCGTTGACTTTTTTCTTGGAAAATTTTACACATATTTTAATTGTGCCTCCGAAGCCGGTGTGACGTCACAGCCTAGGCGTTTGTCACTTTATACCACCCTTACTCGAAAACGGTTCATTGTAGCAAGATGCGGTTCAAATATTTGTTCTTAGAGTTTTTCGCACAAAAACTTCATTTTTGGGTCACACCTCCTTCAATTCACTTATAATAGATGGCATGGTACCTACTTATTCAAGGACTAAATGATAAAGCGTTCTCAACTCCATTTAACTTTTAATGAGCTCGCATCTATTTTTCTGAAGCAAATTCTTTCACTTGGTCGAAGGTATGAAGCACTGAGGATAACGGTGGTTTTGATAGATGAATCGGTCAAGTCTTTGGAAAGACGCAGAAGAAGTGACTATGAAGTTTTTGGAAAGAGAAAAGTGATGAAGTTTCGGAATTTTTTAAAATTGTCAGAAAATAAAGAATCCCTATTGAAATTTGCAACTGGTTATATTTTGGAACATTTAGCTGACAAATAGAAGAAACTTTGATCATCGCTGGTGGTTTTGAAAATCGAGAGTCATGCTTCAATCACAACAGCAATTCTAAATATTATTTCAACCCTTACTTCGAGTTTGCACCCCTATATGAAGCACGGAAAAAGAAATATCTCCAAAACATCACTCAAATAATATTTACGCTGTGCCACGCCACATATTATTTTTAACTTATTCCGTGCTTCATATAGGGGTGCAAACTCGAAGTAAGGGTTGAAATAATATTTAGAATTGCTGTTGTGATTTGCACCCTGTTTGTAATTTTCTCGATGTCAATAATTATTGTAAGAAACAAAAATTAGAAAAAAAAGGTTTCCACTTAATATTTTTGGGTGCAAATGTTGCATAACATTCTGGCAATCAATTTGAACATTTGCACCTAGTTTTTGAATTGTTAGCAATTTTCCCTCCAAATAATGGTGTTTTTTCACATATGATAAGTTATATTAATGCGAATCGCTCATTTCCGGAGGATATTGAGAGGTGCAAATTTATACGATTATTTGTTTCGCATTTATGGTGCATCATCCTAATTTGCACCTTGTTAGCATTTTTTCCGAAAATATATAATACTTTTTAACAATAAATAATTTTTCATTGTGTGCCAAAAAAGGTGCAAAATTAATACAAGATTTGGAAGATAAGTCGTCGCGTTTTTGTAAATTTGCACATTGTTAGCAATTTTTGGGAAGAAGTAATTAATAATTGTTTAATTTTTATAAAAAAAAAACAATGTTCCGCACGTCACTGGAAGGTGCAAATTTTTATACTTCATTTTTTTGTCATACAAAACGTAAATCCTAAATTTCACATTGTTAGCAATTATTGTTAATTCCGAAGCCTCATTGTACATAATAGCAAAATGTAAAATAGCAAATACTGATGTCACGCCTATGGTAAATACGGAGCATCCTTGTGTATTCATTAAGATGCGTATGTAATTTAGTGCGGATGTGAAACATTAAAATACATATAACAATTACGGAAACTGCTGGTTAGAGGTAGAACCTACTACAATTTTGTTGTATCAATATGAATATTGGCAGTGTCAGGCAATTGCAGTTATTATTTGTTTGTTGTCGAAAAAGGCGTTTTTTACCTCGCGTCCGAGTAAATATATTATAAAATCTTATCTTACATTCCTCACGTAAATCATAATTATTACGTTAGTGATAGGGAATATCGCACTGAATATATTTACATCAAATAAATATACTAGTTAGGTATATTATTTTTTTCCCATCACCCAGTGATGTTACTGGCAGTCAAGAAAAAAACCATTGAATTGTATGAAAGCCCTTTTCGGCCATGAGGGATATTGAAAAGAGTGTCACGATGGGTGCTATTTTCAATAGTTGGTAGTTGGATTTCATATTAAAATACCTTACTAGGTTTTCGTGGGTGAAATATATGTTTTGTTTCGCGAATAAACTGAGTTTTCGGAGTGTTTCTATTTACCAGATAACATCAGAAGCGGGATATAGCGTATGAGGGTATTGGCGCGAACTAGCGATTTGTTGTCGCGATATTTTTTGGTCGCCAAAATGAAAATGAAACAATAGTTTTAAATGAGCATACACGCATTCTGCGATTGAAGCAGGTCCTAGGTATTTTTATTTAGGGAAAAACCACGCAGACGTGACAATGGACCTCGATGGACAGAAAGGTATCCTAGAGAATTCGTTTGAAAAGGTGAG